ATCAACACTCGATTATTACTACCGCTACCATTACAAAGCAAATGAGCGATTTTCGCTTCAAATTGTGAAGATTTCGAAACATAGGTTACGTCAGCGCGCACTCATGAAATTGAGAAATATTTTCCCCACAAATTTCTTAGAAATTCTAACAGACAAGGCGTAGAGCTACAAAAAATTGCTTCTGTTGGCAAAAGGTTTGCCCTATGTGCTGGTTATTAGGGTTCCTCCGAAAGTCTCATACAAAAATTTTGAAAATTAGTAAAAGTTGGACATGGTGAAAACGAGTGGTTGTAATTTCCGGCAGATATCTCGTCATTCTCTCAACGAAACACAACGGGAGTTTAGCAGCTGGAAAGGGGAAGAAATTCTGCATCGGATACATTTTAAAGCGTTTGTTTATCTTCATTCTAGCATGTTTGCCAATGGATTGGAAAAATTGACAAAACTTTTGCACCAAGAGTGTCTTTATAATTATGGCCAGCACTGTATAATTGTGATAGCGGCTTTACATCCAGCATGTAAAGATTCAAAAAGTTGTGCAGTTACACAACTGACTGCTGGATTTGCATGTAGTACATGGTAACGAATTTTTTCGTTCGATTTACTCATGGCGAATGCATCTAACATCTATCACTTCTTATAGATTGGTTGCTACTTTGCATTTCCGCTATTTTAACGAAAGGTTCCGCTGAATTATTGCCTTGGACTTAGAACCTAAGCTTATACTGACTAGATTACATATTCTGTTGTACTTAAACAGTGGAAATATAATTTCATACGGTTATACATTATGCGTGGCAACTTACGACTGTGCAAGTTGTCATTTTTGATAATCTTTTGGTAATTCTGTTTTCCCTTTTTTTCACTTTTCAGCATTAATATACAAACGATGTAAACAAAGATGGTCTTGCATTTGATCCATCACAAAAATATGACTGCATTTTCACAGACAAAAGCTCGTTGATGCTTTACAAATCCGGTGCAAACTCACATAAAAAGCTACTAAATAAGGTCTGATTTTGACGAGGATGTTTTTAGTAATTGATATTCAAGATTGTTGCCCGAGAGCTACGACATTCGCTACTTCTTTTTTACTGACAGTAATTTTCCTACATATTATGCAGTAGGATTATACCAGTTTTTTTTTATCCTGATTCCAAAGGCTGATGTTTCTATGGGACATCAATGGCATAACTTCTTATTTTCACTTGAAGAGAAAATTTTTTAACAATCAAAGGATGGAAACCGAGCTAGACGTCTTGACTTGATCCTTCGCCCTGATTTCTTTCACTTTTCTGCGTGCATTTTAATCAAGGTCTTGTTCATACGTTGTGCACATGCTGTAGTTCAGGCATGCACCCTCTGAGAATTGATCACCCAGTTGAGCAAAGAAGTTCCAAGCAACTACGTAGTACGTTACCTGAAGTTCGAAAACCCTGTTATGTCTGATTTTGAAGAGATATAATGAATGGGCCAGTCCTAACACATATTTGTGTTAGGACTGGCCCCATTTTCTTTGCGGTTGGTAGTGGTACAGAATTTCTAGAAAAATGATCATGAAATCTCACAATCCACCGGAGATTCCGCAGGTCAAGCAAAATTTGCAGCGGTTCCGCAGAATTTTATTACTATTACAAAAATGAAAACGTTGGAGATGGGTCTTTCGAAGGGTTTAGCGTCAGACTGGTTGAAAACGGGAGCTTCCGCTGCCAGTACTTTCGCAGGTTCTTCCCAGCGGACCTTTCCCAAACGTCCTGCGGAATTTCCGGTGAATTGTCCAAGATGGCATTAGCCGGCTTTATGTCTTTTTTTCGCCGTTTGAAACTCAAAGTCTTCTATTTTAGAGATAGTTGGCATCCACATTCTCGCAGAACAATTTTTGAAAGTTGGTTTGGATGTTTATTGAAAAAGTTCAAGATTTTCAGTGAATTTGCGTTGCACAACTCACAGGCGATTTTCGAAAATGCGAATAACTTTTAGAAAGGGAAAATTTTTTGACACTCCAGAGGATGCGAAAGGCTAAGAGTTTTGCCTTGCAGTATGCTTGACCTCGTAAGCCTTGTAGGTCAAATTTTGGATGGAATTGCCAGTATGCAGATTTGAAGCGGATGCCAGTTTCTTGTGGCACACCATTGCTGGAGCGATAAAATAATGCAATTAACCAATTTGGTTGAAAAATCAGTTTTCGAGACCCTATCATAGCAGGCGTAGAAATCCGATATCATTGCTTTTTTCACAAAAATTTGAGTACTCAATCATTTCAGGACATCATTAGACATGGGACAGTGAAACGAGTAGGTTGATAAGAACTCTACAAAACTCTTCGGGAGAAAGACGCGAAATACAAGCCGTTCTGCATGCTTTCGCATTCTGCTACTCAATTATCGCGGATACTGTAAGATTACTTCTAGCGATATTTATAGGGTATGTTTGCAGTACGCCGCTTGTATGAAATTTTGTTCTAGTTGATGATTGCTTTATTTTTTCCTTGTGCATGCTGCACCAAAGAGAAATGACTTGGAAAAGACCCGTTTTTAAAGCAGCTGAGAAGGTTACAGAATCAATGTTATAGCGAAAAGAAAAGTAACATCCTAAACCTCTGTCGCTTTCCCTTGACGCAGAATTCCGCTTACAAGCCGAACCCGAAAAATTTTACTTCTGGGCCCTCCCAAGACTTCTAAGAAAATACTAAGTGATGGAAAAATTTCGATGAAAGTTTGTAGGGTTTCTCCTACCTTTTTAAATATATATTACCCTAGGTATTACCCTATTATTGGTATTACCCTTTAGTGAACGAAAGGAAAATGTTTTTTTTTCATAATAGAATAATTTTTTTACATATATGTATGCGCATTCAGAGCATAAGTGCCCTGATTCGGGCTCATATTTTTTGCAAAACCGGTATAAATGGGTCATACAAGCTATTCTCCTAGAGAACTTGTTGTTTATTTGCCAGTATCGAATGAATCGCCTGTGAGTTCATTTTTTGATACTTCTCTAAAACTCCTGAGCTTTTCTCCCAGGTAAAACAAACTTTCTTGTCCAGAGTAGAAGATTTCCATATTGCCAAAATTTCATGGAAAAGGGGGAGACATTTTGGAGGTATTCTTTGATTTATCCAACCGATCTAATCGGGTAACTGCCTATAGTGACGTATGAACTAAATTTCGGGAAAAACTCGGAAAAAAGGGAAAAACTTTAGGTTTTCGAAAATGAGTTTACGATTTTAGACAGACTGAGGGACGTTGGTTCGAATATACATCTCCTTTTACTTCAAAATGATTTTTATTGGAGTTACGCCGTTGCGTTTCAGTGCGAGACCCTGAAAATTTAAGGGTACCGATGGTATTGTACGTAATCTAGCTGCCGAGAAACTACGAACCAAAACCTTTCACGCTCAAGTCATTGGAAAGAAGCTCAGTTTTTATCGCGACCTAGCTCGAATTTTTTTCAAAATGCAACTGCATATCACATGCTGCATATATTTATTTCTGTTTTGCAAATGGCTTGGAAACGAATGTTTTCTCAAATGGCATGCTAATGAGAACAGGCTAACGCACATATGCAGCTTGTGTATAGGATTACGCACAAATCTCTGCTGAATATTGGTTCGTCTGCAATACTGGAGATTCAATTGCAACTCATACTTTTGCGAATTTGGATTCTATTTGAGGCTAATCCACAATTTTTGTCGTCAAGCATTCATAGCCAGTTTTCAATCATTTTATATTGTGATTTCCTTGCCAATATATGGGGCATCAACAGCATTCGACTGGCTCAAGTACCATCTTAACTGGCATGTTCCCTTTGGAGTTTTTTCCTTGAAAAAAAAACGGAATTGCAAATTGAGCTGAAAAACGAGAACTTAAGTTCAAGCATTCTCATAGGTTGGCCCGAAAGTTCTGTCGGAACATTTTCAAAAATTCATAGCTTCCTTCTTTCTCAACCGATTTGCAGATCCTTAATTTTACTTGAAGAAAAAAAATCAATTCGTTTCTAATAGCGTCCGAAGTAGGTTTTGTTAGACGCAAGCCCCGGAGATCAACCAGGGAATAAAATTACTCAATTTTAAAAATTCTCTTGTTTATTTGTAAGTAAACTGAAAATGCAAGGAAAATCGGAGCAGTCATCATTACGGTTTTTACTACCCGCTCTTTTTAATCACGCGAAGTTTATGCCGACTAGATGTCTTTGTGAAAAGTTGTAATACTCGAGAAAATGCCAAAAAATTAAATCCGCTGTCTTGTACTACTTGCTTAAAATCATCGTTTTTTAGAGAAATGTTTAATCAGCGCAAATTTTGCTCAGTTAGAAATAGTAGAATATTCGCAATAATCGCTGCTCCAATTTTGTTGCAAGTTTCATATGTTTTAGGGTCAAACACAAAAAATTCTAAAGTTGAATAACTCTTTTCCCGACTTTGATCTCTGAATCTTACTTCTAAGAATTCAATAAGAAGAGCTACTTTAGGTACGGTATTGCTAAGAGTGATCTCTTTTTTCAGCTGAAAATAAACGCGCAGATTGAAAAAATAAAAAGTTTTGAAGTTCTGAAAATGATGGGGCAGAACCTTTGGGCCAACTGAATATGTTTCTGCATGAATATGTTTCTGCGAAAAATCGGGCCTACTGTTTTTGGAAATGTAGCAAAAAAATTACAGATACTTGAAAATCAGCAGTTTATTTTCCCAAAAAACCGGTGTACAAAGACAGCTACATATAAGGGGCTCTGTTTATTCCCAGCTATAAACAATCCATCTGCTGCAGCTGCAACCTCTTCTATCATCGCCCACTCTTCCGTTTTTATTACTATAATTGTCAGCGTTGATTTTGTTCCCACTTCATCATCTCTAGCCTTGTGTCTAATCTCATTAGAAAGCTGGATGTTCTTTCCTGACGAATATTTGACGCGTTCTTTAATTATTAATGGTTTCAGACTTACCATGTACTTAATCCGATGCGAAAAGGATATGTAGGCATCCTTTTGCATCTCGCCGGACGATGCTAATCGTTGTTCTACTCTTATCGATACTCGAAGCAGTTCAAGCGGTTGGTCAATCATTTTTTCGTTCTTGGACGTCGATTTTATCTTTAATGCACATTATGGTTTAATCGCGAGTTCATCTGGGTTTTATAAAGATATGATTTTTTGGAAAAATTCAAATTTTTTGTTCTGTCTACTGCAGTGCAAAAATTCTTCGTATAAAAATGCGGTAACGAAGAAACGATTTAGATTAATTTTATCTTATTGCTTAGTCCTTATCAGTAAACGTTTTTACATTCAATTAAAATGAAGAAAATATTCGACATCAGTATTTTCATGGAGCTTTAGAAAAAAGTTTATTTCCAGCACGAGGTCAAAACACATATAGGTGCTTGATCAGAGCCCAAAAATTGTAATTATGTGAACAAAAATCATCGGCAAAGCTACTGAAATGATTTAAAAGTTCGAATAAGTACTTATTAATTACTTACCTATTAATTAGTCAGTAATTTAGATAAAAAGAGGGAAACTACCACAGTCCTCTTATTAAACTTTTTTCTGGTTCTCTTACTCATTAATTCTGCTTTACCGAAAGTGCGTGAGTAAAGGATTGTAAATGATTTAATAGCCACATATTTTACTACAAGCTTTCTAAACTTAGGATTGGTCAAGATTCTCAGTCTCAAAAGCTATTTGGTAGAAAATGTGCCTATTGATGAAAAATGAAAAAATTGCTTCAGAATTTGGAACAGCTGGTAAACATAATCCACAACTATACAGCAGTGGCGTACCCAGGATTTCGGCTGGGGTGCTTCTCAAAATTTTTGCGGGTCCAAAACCCCTAAAATCTGGAAAAAGGGGGGCGTGGCGTCAGCCACTCCCCGAAAAAATTTTTTTACAAGGCTAATTTGTATTTTTAAAAATTTTCAAAAATTATTTTAATTATTTAAAAGTAAAGACAAGTCCTTTGCACATTTTTATGACACATTTAGGTAATTCAAAAATTTCGCGACCCATTCTCGGGGGGGGGGAGGGCGCGCCCCCCCCCCCCGTCCCCCCCCTCGGTACGCCACTGCTATGCAGATACAAATACATCTATAAAAATTAGAACTACATGAGTTATAAGTTTGTGCAAGTAACTTGTTACCACTTCTAAGTAGTCGAAATATTTTTTGAAATCTTTCAAAGATTTAAGTTTTTTTGTGAAAAAAACTCTCTCAGCCAAAAAAAATCTAGAATAAAGCGGAAGCCACGCTCCTTTTTATAAAAATTCTCAGGTTATGAGCTTAAAATTCGAAAAGCGAAGAAATTTTTCTTGGGGCGCCATTTTTCCTCGTTGCGAAAGTTATCGTCCACCCAAAAAACTTCTCGAACCGCCGCATAAAGTCCTTATATTCAAAATTTTTGATGATTAAATATTTGGGATGAAAATCTTCCAATAATCGCAACAATGCTGAAATATGATTTATACAGGTCAGATTGCGCTGTGGCAACTACTCCACTAGCGTGCTCGTTACTCCAGAGCTGAGAGAAAACTCTGGAGTACTGGTGACATGGGACCTGCTGTCGTCGGACCCAGTTTGCTCGGATCCGTCACGTCTACCTCGATTCACTCAGCTTCGCCTACACGATGTTTCACTTATAGCCAGTTGTGACATTTGTCCGAAGTGGGTGGTTTTGGACATGACGTTTAAAAAATGGCTTTTGCGGAGAGGATTACGTCGCCTATGGCTTATTACTTTTAAAGACCTTACTTAGGCCTAAAGGCTTAGTATATCCACACTTTCTTCTTCCATATAGTCCGGTAGAATCAGTGAAGCTCGAAAAGCATTTCTGAATTTTTTATTGCCTACTCACCTTCTAAAGAAGGAAGACGACCCGATGACACCAGCAAGAGATCTCTCACACATTTTCCAAATTTTCGCCTTTTTTCTTTTCTTACGGTGTGTGTAAAATAAATAAATAAATAAATAAATAAATAAATAAATAAATAAATAAATTACTCGCAAGGACATCTGCCACGAAGATTCTACCTCTGCAGATTGGATCCCGTACCAGTTGTTTGCAAAAAGCTTATCGGCGACTGTTCTGACACATTTTGGCCTTTATTCTAATGAATTTTCATCGTTTCAAACTTAGACACCATTTTTGAGATGAATTTTTTCTAGATGTACCCTTCGATTACCAATGCGCTACGAATGGCCGCTAGGCTCTTCGATCAACACTATCTACATCGTTGGTCGACAACCACCTTACAACCGTATCCATACCGATATGGATGTTCGTTATGTAATAGTGGATCGAATGCCGCCATCACTGAGAAATTGCGAGCTCATCGTGAGAGAAAAAGCTAAGCTCGACAAGCTTTTCACATTTTCAAGTGCTGCAATGTTTTTACTTATATTTCTATCTGTGATTTTTTGCGTTTGTTGTGCACGGTATCTTTGCTCGAAGATTTACTAGCTTATGCTTGTCGATCTACTTTCTCAATCTAGTTCGACACCATAGAAAACGTTGAAAGCAGTGCACTACTCCTGACCTTTAATATATGTATCATCCATTGATCAGACAAGAGTGCTAATGATTTTGACTATTTAGACCATGCAAATTATCAGGTCGCTTCATAAGCTCGCTGGATTTTTATAAACCAGCAAAATCAACAATTCTCATCAAAAATTAATCAATAATATGTTTCTCGATGTAGCGCACAATCTTTTGCCGCATTGGTGTAGGTTAGCAATCCCATTTTTCCAAAGGACAGCGCATCTAGTCCTACAAAAGTCATCTAACCCGCGCCTGAGATGTTTTTTGAAATCAAAACAAGCACCTTCATATTGTTTGCGAGAAAGCAGAACAGAACACACAATCCATTATCCACTGGATATATTTCAAAACCATGATCGTCTTTGTCCTATGATCTTCAAAATTTGTCGCAAGAATGAAAACGCTACAAACTTACGAAGCGATCTAGTAATTAAATTTTTGCCGCAATTTTTTTAGAAAAAGCGCTTGCTTTGCAAACAATGGACAACGTTCTGCAGGGCATATGTTGTTATGCGTCATTTCTCATACATAATTCAGTTGGCTACAGTCATCAATCATTTGTTGGTGTTTTATTCCGTCAAATACGCAAGCAATCTGCTAAAATTTCTGATAGCTGCGCATCGAACTTTTTTCCAGTGTAAATACCCACTCATTTAGCAGTACCCATGTTGTAGCCGACAATTGCAGAAATATTTTTCTACTATTTAGAAAGGAGACGATAGTAGGAGACTTTCTTGAAATGTCCTGATTACTTATTTGATTCAGCTGGATTGGCTGCTGGAAGGGGGGGGGGTGCGCTGCGACCTGGTTAAGGCCGCTTGCGCCCGCGACGCAGTCTGCGTCTTTCTCGCGCGTGCTCTCTCTGATTATTCTCAGCCTTAAGTACGTCGCGAAGCCCCGCCTTCCAACTGCCAATCTACTTGAATCAAAGGGTAAATATTTTCCCCGCTTTGTACATTGCTGAATGATTCAGAGTTCATGCGTAGAAATCCCAAAGAAAATGGAAGCTCTCTAATCCAGATCTTTTTATGTGCCTTAGCTGGTGAAATTGAATTTTCTTCGTGTACCTGTATTAAAAGATCTGTATCACTGTCCGTACAATAAAAGATTTATTTTGAAATGACTTTTCGTTTGTGTGCTTATTTCCTTCTGCGCAAGTACAACCGATATTTTTTTGGGAAACTTTTGTAAAATTTCTGTTACCAAGATTTGTAGAATTAGTGACACAGTACTGGAAGCAGCGGTGGGCAGGATCTCTCTATCGTAGTCTGCTACTCCACTGGGATTGTTGCCAGATGTTACTAGGTGTAGCCAGACACCGACGATTTTCTAGCTAAGGATAAATTTTCGCATCGCATACAACGTTTTGGGCTTAAAAAGTAAACTGTTTTCTGAAGCTTCAAAACTCATCCCTGCTTACAAAGACACTATATGAACACGTTTGTGGTTGGTGGACCGAGGAGAGGGCGGGAGGGGGGGAGGCAGTATTCAAAAATTCCGTGACGTACCCCAAGGGTCGCGAATTTTTGAGTTACGTAAATGGGTTATAGAAATTTGCGAATGACTTTTTTACACTCGTGAATATTTGAAATAATTTTGCGTGGCTGCCACCACACTCCCTTTTTCTGAGATTTTGTGCTTAAGGGACCGCAAAAATTTTGGAAAACCATCTCAAAAGGTGTTCCGGTGTGCATGGCTAACGCCATGCAGCTTTATCCCATTTTTGTCGCCCTTCCCCCGAACGGAAATCCTGTAACCGGCCCTGTCGCTGGTGTGTGGTGTAGGAAAAAAACAAAAGTGTGTGGGTTCGCCACGTATGTATGCATCCTACTGAGAAAGCTTGCGCGATGCACTTATAATGACTGGCAAAGTAAAAGCCCATTGTTCTTATTCAAAAACCAGGTAATTTGGTGATCCTACTTAGAACATTGCATTTAGGCTCGTTTATTCCAAAAATGAATGGGAAGAAGCATGCAAAAATCAGCCCTCTTTCTGATTACAAGTTGCTTTGCTTGTAACGTGAAATGCCCTAGCTTCAACGTCAAAACACCCGTCAATTTTTTTCCTTGGACTCCATCTTCCTTATTGCTTTTCACCGTAGCAGCTAATACAAATGAATTTCCATTAAAATGCAAACTTCATTTACATAAGCACCAATTAATGAGAATTTAGTAGCATACGAATCATGAAAATCAATTGCGTCCAGGTTGCTTGGCTTGCATCTGGGCTCCTAAACAGTGTCTCAGTCGGACAAACTCAATGATAATTTCTAGAAAAGCGGAAATCTGTTATGCTGCTACCGATACAGGATTGCACTAACTTTTTGCCGATTTCGGACGTGTGAGGGAATGACCTTCCTCTCTGAGACGACGATACCTTGTTGACAAATATGCGAAGAGGCAGGACAGCCACGCATCCGCCATATCCGGAGCGGGCTTTTCCTGGTAGCCCAGCAGCAACAAAATCTCTGAAAAAAATTAATGATGTTTGCAATGATTTATAAAAGTAGAGAAATGGTGAATGTCACGAAGTGCAATTTTTTTCAAACAGTTACGATTTAGGCGTAAAAACTGTGATACTTCCGAGTTACGCTTGATAGAGTGAATCGACTGCATTATGAGGAGTGATAGATTTGAAACCAAATAAGTACATCAATAATGGATGATGCACTCATTTGGTTGAACAAAACGGGTTTGAGTTGAATGAGAGGATGAATAGATGAAATGTAAAGTTGCTAAGTGATGAAAGTACATCCACACTTACAAATACTAACGTGACCTTATTAAAAGTAGCGACTGCAACCAATTTAATCTACATTTGCAAAAAGCCGAGATTTCTAAAAACTGTCAAAAATGCGGTAAGGTTGATCGATATTTTGCCTATCGTCTTTTGCAAAATTTTTGGTTGAGCATTAATCAAACGTTATTTTCATATCCTTCCTATAACTTCCAGAACAAGTAGTCAACTGCATCAAATTTTCTTGGTTGTCCAGGTAAAATCATCAATTTGGGTCTACTCAGCGCAAGTTTGAACACAAAGAGTGTGCCGAAAAAATATCGTACATAAATCTGCATTCTTCTCTTAGAGCTGCTTTTTCAATGGGTTTTGAAAAAGTTATCGTCATCATCCATTGGTTTTTGGCATATTACTCTACAAGGTGACCCAAAAGTATATATACACTGTTTGATCGTTAATATCTCTCTTCCCTAAAAGTTTTTTGCCTACTTTTTGGTACCAGTCTGTGGAGCTAGCTTCATCTTAGATTTGCAGCATTGAGCGAATCAGCGATCTTTGTTCATTACTGTAGGGTTATGATAGGAACTTCAAGAAGAGTTGTAAGCTACTGAGGGCCCCATTTCGCCTTAGAAATCCCAAACAATCTAAAAATTCTTACACTAGGCTGGTAAGAGTCGCCAGGACCAATTATGAACTTTGCATATGGTCGCGATACTTCCTTCATAACTTATGCCAGGCAAACCATAATAGCGGTTTTCACGATGCTTCCTAAAATTGTGATTACACCCTTTGAAAAGCTTTATGAAATCACGCGCGCAAAATCCCTGGTACACCAATTTTCAGAATTTTTGGGAACTTTTTGAAAACACGACTAACCCACAATGACCCTATAAGGCAAAAGTTCCTACCATAATTCTTCAGTAAAGGAAGGGCCACCGATGGTTCGCTTTCTACTGCAATTCTAAGTTGAAGCCAGCTTTACAAAATTGTACCTGAAGGTAGGTAAAAAACTTATTGGAAGGAGAGATATTAACAATCAAACAGTGTATACATACTTTTGAGACACCCTGTATAATCAACCCTTGATTGTTCTACAAGATACGAAAAGATAGTGCGCTTTCGATTCGTTTTTGGAAAAATTCAATTTGAAGAAATGCAGTCTTTTTTATCTATAAGTAAGCAAGACTTGGACAACGACAAAAACATTGCCGTTCAAATGGTTCCCTTCCCTTTTTTCATTCTTGTTTGATGTACGAGGAGAGTTTTCCATGTTTGGCAGCAACATTTGAGCATGTTTTCGAACCCGCGACTTTTCCATCACTGATGATATCAAGCAAAAGTACTTGGAAAGGGGCTGATTTGGTCTTCTTTCGCTCGCTGGGATCCATACGCATCAAAAAGAACAAATTCTTATTGTAACTAAATAATTTTTGGTGTGTCGCTACGGGTTTTTTCGTAAAAGAAAACACACTCCTTTTTCCAAAGCATTTAACTGAACATCTTCATAACGTTTGCAGACTCTACGCCAACACTTGATAATTACTCTGATCTTGATTGTGGTCAAAAAGACTTCTGTAATTTTCGTACTTATGAAAGACAGGTATAGTTTGTTGATGGAATACGCTATGGTAGGATCTGCCGTTGAAAGAATTTGCAGGTTTTTGAGGCCAGTTTTTTCAACATTGTAGAATGCGTAAATATCTTGGCAATCTTGTCGAACTTATCAAAAACAAAAATCACACCGATTTCTTAAGCCTCATTTGGAGGGACAAATATTTTTCCGTACCTGGTATTACATGACTCCCCGGTGTACGTTGGACGGAGCCGCGGGCAGGGCCTGACATGGTTGGTTTGGAAGATTTTTGAAAACGAAGTCCCCCATGACTTCGCAAAATTTTACGAAGTCCTTACTGACGTAAAAATTATTAGGAAAGCGACAACATTTTAAAGCAACAACAACAACACAAACAAAACAATTGTAATTGTTATATGATACTCCAGTGCCAGATTTGTACGGTGGAATTTTTCATTGGCCTTACTTTTCGACATCGTCTTCGTCGGAGCCCTGAAAGTAGACTGCAGTAAGCGCTTTGAAAGTAGATTGCAGTAACACTGCAGTCTACTTTTAGGCCTCCGACGAAGACGAAATTGTCGCACGTAAAGCCAATAAAAAATTCCACCGTACAAACCTGGCACTGGCACAGTACCATATAACAATTACTAGCTCATTTTCGAATGCCAAGGTTTAGAGAAGAGAGAACATGGAACAAAACAATTGTCGCCAGTTTGAAGGACGCCTTGACAAGCATGCGACTGGAGCGCCTTATCTATGAGTGCGTTTATCTATACTATTTTTGGCTCATAAAAAGAGGAGAGCAGATCCCAGCAGGAGGAGGCATATGAGAATTTTGAAAACGAAGTCCCCTTTGACATGCAGAACTCCACGAAATACATTTTGTGGTATTTGTAGAAACAAGGTTAATAATCTACAGCAAACGATGAGTTAACGGAAGTCAAAAATAGGCAAGGAAAATCGCAGATAAAAGAGCAACACGTGAAAAAGGCAGTTTCTAAATAATTCAGAGGCCGTAGCAAAACAGAATAAACGAATTTTGGGTTATGGTAAGTATGCATAGGAAGAGTTTAAACTGAAGAATAGACTTAAGTGAGAAAATCTGGAAAATTATGTGAAGATGGAGGAAAATTATGACTTTGTTTGGTTCCGCGCAACCCCACGATGCTCTCAGGTTGCGCGGGAGCATCTAAAATAGCAAAACACAACTCCTTTTGTTCACATAATTTTTTCATAATTTTTCATGCTTTCCTTTTGATCGTCGCCGCGGAGGTATAGTACACTAAATTTGGTGGCTAAATATTGCTTATAGGTTGTAAACGGATTGATTTTCTATTTTTTTAAGCATAAAGAATGTATTTGAACATGTTGAAATCGTGTTCACGGGTCTAAGCACTTGTCATGCTTGTAACGTGTTAATCTACTTTTACTGAATCGTCGTCGGAGTTGAAATAAGGGCTTACTAAGGGTTAGCTTTGTGCTTCCTAAATTGTATCAGATTTCAGGGAACCACCCCTGGGAACATTGCGAATTCCCTTTTGCTTTTCTCAAAAAAGAATGGCATCCAGCATGCGAAAGCGCCTCCTCTGCTGAACCCTAGAGGAGAGGCAATGATTTGATTTGCTCTCTTCATTATATGATAGATTTTTGAGCCCTCCATTGTCCAAATCAGAAATTCTCAAAACCTATGTGAGCTCTTCGATATTTATGCTCCAGACAACCCGTTACTATGGTGCTGGCCTAGAAAAAATCAAATTTGTAGCGGCTACTAGGACACATAGGCTTTGAAGCTTTTTACTTAATGTAGTTTGAAGTAATACTGTATACACGTAGTCCAAATTCGGTGACATGTGATTGCTTGTGCGCTGTAAACAAGCTATTTGTTTATTTGACATCATTTTAAATTTGGCGAACTTGACGAGAAGGAACACGTTAGAGTATGTCATTCGTGTAACTTGATGGTTAGCATATCTGAAGGCCACTTATACGTGTGTTTAACAAGTTTTTCGAACCCTTTGCATTTATTCCAAAAAAGGAAGTTTGGTTTGCCCTACGAACTTGTAGCCTGTAGCGCCGATCGATATCGGCAACCAGTTAATTGTTTTTGCACTTAGCTAGAGCATAGTATTTTTTTACCTAGTTCACCGTTTTTCTTCCAGATTTCGACATAATTTGCCGACAGCGACCAAAAGTGATTTGCGATTGGGATCTTGAAGAAAAATTGTTTAATTGTATGGCCGCTTACCGTGCATTCACTCACCTCTATGTGGGCACTTCAAAACCTTTCATGATTTAAAGAATGTTTCAAAGCATGGTAGGTACTACAACATCGCAGAAGTTTTACTGTGCAATCTGCTGACCATGTTGCCTATATGTCCTATTGATCGATTTAAAGTCCCTGACAACATTTCTGGCGAAACAACGTTTTTCGTCAACTTCTGGGACAAGGATATTGCCAAGACATACTCAAGATCTTGAGTAATCACAGGGGGACATTTGAAGCCAAAAAAGTCATACTGCGGAGAGAACGCTTTAGCAGATTGCAAAAACAGTGCTGCCAGAATTGAATGCATTCGGATTGCGGTAAACGGCCATGCAATTGTATAGTTTTTCTTCAAAATCCCTTTTGTAATTTACTCTCGGTCGCTATCGACGAATTTATCTGGAAGAAAAACGGTGAAATAGATAAAAAGATCTGCTATACGCTAGTTAAGCGCAAAAATAATCAGCTGATTGCCGATAGCGATCGACGGCAGCCGCGCTGCAAGGAACAAGTCCATAGGGGGCCCGCAGCTCCGCCCGTACACCGGTGAGACGACGATATAGAAGCGTAAGCGTAATAGTAATTGAGAAAAACGTTTAGCAGCGGCCTGCGTAAAAGTGATATTTGAGGGAAGTGATATTTGAAGGGTGAAATAATGCTAAGGTTGCGTTCATACTGATCCGAAAGTTCGGGAAATGAGCTCTGTGCTGAAACTGTTCTCGAATTTCCAGATCAGTATGAACACAGCCTAATTTAAAGCATGAAATTACCGTCTATAGATGTAGGAAAAAGTGCCAATTGGAATTCATATCGTAGTGTTAATAGACCGAGCCAGTTGCATTCCGGGCCATTGCCAGGATGTGCGTGTGTGTGCCTTCAGATAGACGAAGTCCTA